GAAGGCGCTTACAACGATGTTAGCGCGTTAACATACTATATTTTACATTACGCATATTATCGAATTTCAGAGATAAAAGCGCGTTTTGAATACGAACCAGAGTAACCAATAATGACCGCATAATCTCTCGTGGGCAGGTAGAACGAATTAATTGTGAGTCGAAAAGTCCTTTACCATATTGCAATTTTTGCAATTTTTTTAAGTTAACCAATGAGCAGAGTGTTTAAAATCAGGGCATAAAACTTTAAGATATTTTTAAGAGTTTTTTTGAGAAATACCTGCAAGATATTTCATAAAGAACTCTGAAAAATATCATAAAGTTGTGTTACGCGTCGATTTTATCCGCTTATTTGGCAATTTTTAGGAATTATATTTTCGGTAAATCTTCTTATGAAACCGTTATTACGTTTTTAATGACTGTATATTAATGATTTCATTCTTGATACAGCTCGCATTTAGTTAATCAGCTAATTGACGGTTACATACTCTCCAGACGTGGCAATCTGAGAGATTTACTTACAGCATCCCATGGCTTCATTATTGCGAACTGATTAATTGATTGTTAATTGAGACTGCTGAAGATGGCTTGAAGATAGCCGAAACGTTCAGATTTGTATACTACATATGGAATATTAACTAGAAATATATCTATACTTTTGATTCACGCATTAATTACTGCGTTTAAGGCTCTTAATTGCCCTTTTTTAGTCGTACTTTATTTAAGACAAAGTTAAATAGTTGTAGTTCATTCTTATTGTTTTGTAACGTTGTTATTGTCTTATAATTGACTCACCGAAGTCTTGAAGTTGGGAAAAAAAAATAAAAATAGACTCAGGAATTTGTGTGATGGGACTTCGATTTCGCCTGAGTTTAAGAAATCTAAAACAAAGAAGGGGATGAGGGGGAGTCCTTCCTCTTTTGGAGGTCGAGCCTAGACTTGGGGATTCTTCTAGGGAGGAGAAGGATCAAATATCTCTCTCTGAAACGTCACCGGTAGACAGTTAAGTAACTAATTCTGTTAATCAAAATGATTATTCTAGAAGAGTATATATCGAATTACGATTAAACAATAGATATAACAAAAATTCTTGTGCTCCTTTTCAAGTATTTGTGGAGACTCTGGGGGGAGATACTCTTGCAGTAGGGAATTTACATCCTCTATCAGTGGATAGAAAAATTCTGACCAAATTTAATGACCTAGAAATATGTAGACTAAAAAAAACTTAATTCTACCATCGTAATAGTTACATTTGAAAACCATCAAGATGCAAATAAATTTATAGAAAATAAAAATGCACTGTCTAATAACTGGTTCGTATATGTTTCTTATTTTAAAATATCTAGAATAGGAAGAATAAGAGAGGTTGATCCTTCTTTATCACTGGAGGATATTGAATGAGGAATTTCCTGGTCAGATAATCCTTTTGATATTTTAAAAATGGAAAGACTAAAATTTATTCCTAAAAAATCCACTAATTTGGAAAACTCTGAGTCTATAAAAATAACATTAAATTCAAGATTCTCTCTCTCTCTCTCTCTCTCTCTCTCTCTCACCTGAATTTATTAACCTCTGGAAAATCAGAATTAGAGTTAACCCTTTCGTAAATAGGGTGAGAAAATGCCTGAGTTGCGCAAGATGGGGACATACCTCACGTATATGTAGAGGGAGATTGACTTGCCCATCTTGTGGAGAAGATCATTCTAAGGATAACTGTAATGCACAAATTTACAAATGTGTAAATTGCTCAGAGTATCACAATTCCTTTGATTTAAAATGCCCAGTTCTTAAAAAAATAAATTTAATTAACACAGTCTGCGCTTACGCAAATGTGGATAGAAAAATGGCTCTTAAGTTTATTAAACAACAAAATATAAAAAATATTAAAGATGTCTTTAGAGCGTGCCACTCTATGGCTTACGTTAGACAGGAGATTACAGAAGATAACAATATAATATACCTAGTCAGAAATGATAATGGAATCGACATCGAATCGATATCGTTTCGACGTCGAAAACATCAAATCGATGTCGATCGACGTCAAATCGATGTCGATTCAATATCGATTCCATTATAATTTCTGACTGGGTGAAAGTAATCAAAATTTATTCCATGAGGATGTGAATTTAAATGATATGGCTTCAAATTTGAATAAAACAAAAAATAAATTTATTCAGGATATTTTAAGGAATAAAATATATAATAGTAAAACATCAATAGACTCTCGGATTTCAGATAGTAATGTAATTAATGAGGATATGGCAAATAACCATTCAAAAATTTATAGAACTAACTTTAATATTAATGACGTTTTATTGGAATCAGATTCTGCAACAATATCCCCACAAGATACAGTTTTAACTCAGATATATCTTTTGTTATTTGAAACAAATCTTCCTAGGAATTTAAAACAACTCTAAAACATTGCTAAAATAGCTCTGAGCTATTTACCAGGTATGTAAATATGAAACCGGAATTTACCAATAGATGGCCATAGCTGTCAATGTAGTTGCCGTCAGACCGCGTCATAGATAGATAATTTCGTTTATTGGCCAGTAACAGGTACATAAGTAGCCATTTTACAATCATTTACAATGTCACAGATAGGTGGCGTAATTTCAAGAAGTAGCTTAAGAGACGCAGACAGGTAGTTGAAAAGATCGGTAATACTTGAGAGCTAGTAGAATTTGCGGTTGATTAAATTTTAAGAGTTTTAGTTTATTTTGTTTTAGATCAGATCAAATCCCATAAATTTGCATAACAATTAAAATGAACCTTAACATAATATACATTAATGTAATTAAATATAATAATGTTGAATAATATAATATAATAGTAATTTGATGGATTCCTCACATTTGCGATATATATGCTTAAAACTATAAACGCTAAACATCTATCTTGCATTTGTTGAAAAATTCGACTATTATTTTTAATTCCGAGTTTTTCATTTTCTTTAGAATTTCTCTAATATCGATGGGTGTATTAATTTTTAGTTTACGAAACTTATCCTCCATGTTTTTCCTTTCTTTATGGAATTTATTGCATTCCCATAATAAGTAATTAGCGTTCTCAATGAGACCGCATGAACACAAGTTGGATTCGGTAATTTTGAACCTAAATAAGCTATCTTTAAGTGAGTTGTGACCGCTATGCAATCTATTTAAAGTTATGATGTCTCTCCTACTAAAATTCAAATCGGAAAACCACGTTTTGGACGACTGACAATGGTAATTCTCAAAGAAAAAAATGCCCTTATTCAAGACAAATGCTCTGTGATACAAGAATTCCTCGTTATTTTTAATACACATTGATTTAAATATGCTATATACATCCGAGTGAAGCACCGCAATATCCCTCATAGGGCCCTCAACAGCTGCTTTTTTAGCTAGAGAATCAGCCTTTTCATTACCCTGGATATTCCTATGAGCAGAAATCCACGTCAGTTCTACATCTTTGTCCTTTAATTTACAATTCACTAATTCCTGATTAATCTCTTGAATCAGATGAGGATGATGTTTTAACTTGCGAATATTCATTAATGCCGTGAGGACGCTTTTCGAATCCGAGAAAATTGTGAATCTGGTGAGATCGGACTTAATTATTTGATTTAAAGCAGACAATATTGCAACTGCTTCTGCTGAAAAAATGGAAGAGACATCGAAAAGCTTAAAGCTGGTTATAAAATCATCGTTAGAACACCAGCTAGCGAAGCCGACGGAAGACTTCTCATCCGTATTTATTTTGGATCCATCAGTGAAAATTGCGGTGCGATTATTTAACTTATCACCGAACACTTGCCAGAAAGCATAATCAGCGTTGTTGTCATCCTTGATTAGCATGCCACTATTGAGGTCCACTTTACTCTGATTGAATTGATTTTTATATTCTAGTTGATAAAAGGGGATATAGTATTTAAAGATAAACTTTTCATATGGCTTGACTATTTCATACGTACTAACTAATGTGGATTTAGTGAAGTTATTCTCGTGTACGAAATTCTCAGATAACTCGCTAATTTCCTCCAAGACTTCATTTAGCTGATTATGCTGTTTGGCCATGCTGCCAATAAGATACTTACAACTAGTTAATTTAAATCTATACTCTAGCGGTAGAATTTTTGTTTCGCTATAGATGATGTTTACTGGAATGGAGTTCCTGTATCCCATAGCCAACCTAAGACATTTCAGCTGAATCTTTTCTACTTTGTGAAATAAATCTAGTTTACATGGAGACATTAAAAATCCGCCGTATTCTATTCTAGACCTTATCAGGGATTTGTACAATGTAATCATGATTGATGGATCGGTTCCCCACCATGTACCCCTAATACAACATAGGATACGAACAGGAATTTCGCATTTTTTTACAATATGTTCTACATGTGCATTCCAGTTAAGGCAACTGTCGAGAACCACTCCGAGAAACCTAACAGATGCTGACGGGTATATGGTTGACTCCTCTATTTTTATATGCATATCTTTATATTAGTTAGATTTATTGAAAATCACTAGTTTGCATTTATTAGGAGCCAGCTGTAATTTCCTACTAGAGAGGTGTGTGGATAAAATTTTTATTTGTTGTTCCAGAATAGACAGGTCAGTCCCCACATGATTCCCTGTAGAGAACAGCGCTAGGTCGTCCGCAAATTTCAAAATCTTAACTTCGGGTGTTATAATATCATCTACTTTATTGATATATATCGAGAATAATAATGGGCTTAAAATACTACCCTGAGGTAACCCTTTAAAAGCAGGACGAACAATATTTCCAGGACAATTAACAAATTGAATGTATCTAACCGAGATTAAATTGTAAATAAATAAAATAAACTTTTTGGATATTTTCAGTTCTATCAGATCGTTAATCAAAATTGCCGGATCCACATTGTCGTACGCGCCTTTGATATCTAAAAACACTGCCGCCAGATGATTCTTCAAATAAAACTGCTTATTCGTCTCCGCGATGATAAAAGCAAGACTATCAATACAAGACTTATTCGTTCTGAATCCGAATTGGGAATTATTCAATAACTCGTGATGTTCAATCCACCAAGTTAACCTTTCATTAATCATCTTCTCAAGGAGTTTCAAAAAACACGACGACATGCTAATTGGTCTGACCTGGTTATTCTTTGCCTTAGGGATTAGTAAACATATGTAATTACGCCATTCTTCTGGGAATTCGCCTGTGAATATAATGTCATTATAGATGTCTAAGAGTGTCCTTTTAACAAATTCCGTGAGTTTATTAATTATGAAGAAATTAATTCTATCTGGACCAGGGGCTGACTTCTTGTTGACATTAGATAACGCAACCGAAACTCTGAATATTCGAAAGGTGTCTCTAATGATAGGTCTCTATGATATGACTGATCAAAAGCTGGTCTATTACAATTATTTACGAAGGAGCATAACTCATCTATACATTTATGCATGGATTCTATTAGTTGTTGGTTACCCTCGGAGGAGCTAGGCTTCGAGAACTTATTGTTGAAACTTTTGATTTTATTAAATACGTATCTAGTAACTACTATTCTTGTTGAGTCTCGCAAAATCTTTTAAAAGTCTTTGTTTTTTCCGACTTCAGAAAGGTTTTGGTCTGGGCCTCTATTTTTTTATATTCAAAAAATTCTTCCTTAGTGAATTTAAACTGAAGAGATAGCCATTTAGCTTTTCTGAATCTAACTGCTTTTTCACAACTTTCATTCCACCAAATAGCAGGAACCCTATTCTTGTGCTTATACTTATTGATATTAGCTTTACTGTCGTCGTTTCCTTTTTTATTGTTATTATTATTATTTTTTTTTTTTATTAATTTTAGACAGGGATGAGAATTCTATCGATTCATTAATCGTATCGATGACAGAGGTATATCTGGCACAACAAGATAAGTTAAGAAATTCTAGTGAATTAACATTATTATTCCTCTTAGCCCAGAATTCGTCAAACCTATCCTAGTCAATCATTCCTGGGTTAATTCTGCCGTGGTTTCCCGGAATGAATTCCGCATCCACCTCCACCCGAATAGCCACTGGAAAGTGATCACTTCGCCAATTATCCATTTCTACAGACCACTCACAAGACAAAGCGATGTTTGTTGATGCCAAGGTCAAATCAATGCATGAGTTAGAATAGTTTGGTCCGGACACATGAGTGATTCTACCATTGTTTAGGATAATGAATTGATCGGGATCTGTGAAATTATATATAGTATTACCATTTATACAGTTACGATCATTACCCCATGCACTGTGATGTGCATTAAGGTCGCTACATATTAGAGCTTTTTCTTCTTTATCCTTAATAGCTTTTAAGAAAGATTGCCATTCATTGGAAGTAATATTATTATTAGAGGGAGTTCTGTAGCATGCTATGATATTTACGTAGCCCTTTGATGTTAAAACTGAGATAGATCCAACTTCCAGTGCTACGGGGTTAAAGTTCAACTGAATAATATCAAAAATCATATTTTTTTTTAACAAGGATGGCGATACCTCCTCCATTGTTAAATATTCTGTCAAAACGAACAATTTCGAAACCTACTATGTGAAAATTAGATATTTCAGATTTTAAGAATGTTTCTATTAAAATGATAATATCCCATTGGCTAGCAAATCTTTCCAATTCATAACTCTTGCCTCTTATACCCCAGTTCCACTGAAGGACTCTAAGACTTATTGGCT